CCATGATTCAGTAGACAAGCATACATCTGGCCATTTTTCCTTCCAAGCAAAGTGAACAACCAGGTGCACTGCTCGAAGTTCTGCCTGTTGGGAAGATAACCCTTCACCACTGTCCCTCAGAGAGGTCCTAGAAAGAGGTGTAGTGCTGCCGCTGTCCACTTTCAAGTGGTGTCTGCATATCGTGCAAAACCATCTGTAAACTAAGCACGAGTTTTCTCTTCCTCAGTCAAATGATTATAAGTAACTTCCCATGAGGCCATAGGCACAGACTGGGAGAGGGCAGATAATGTTACATAAGTGGAGACCATGGGTATTTGGGCCACTTCCTCATGCAACTTACTTGTGCCTTCAGGTCCTGTTCAGGCCCAATCTCGTATATACCACTTCCATTTAGTGATGGAGTGCTGCTGTGTACATCTGACTTTATGACTCTGTGGGTAAGACAACACCCAGTTCATAATGGGAAGCTCAGTCTGCACAGTGACTTGGTGGCCCATGGTTAAGCATTTATCTCTACTAAGGCCAAGTAGCAAGCCAAAAGCTGTTTCGCAAAAGGAAAGTAGTTATCTACAGAGGTTGGAAGGCTTTGCTCCAAAACCCTAAGGGTCTGTGCTGTGATTCACCAGTAGGGGCCTGCCAAAGACTCCAAACAGCATCTGTATCTGCCACTAACACTTCAAGCGCCACTGGATCAGCTGGATCATATACTGCAAGTGGCAGAGCAGCTTGCAGAGCAGCCTGAACCTGTTACAGAGCCTTCTCTTGGTCTGGGCCCCACTCAAAACCAGCAGCTTTTTGAATCACTTGATAAATAGGCCAGAGTAGCACACCCAAATGAGGGATATGTTGCCTCCAAAATCCAAAGAGGCCCACCAAGTGTTGTGCCTCTTTTAGCTGTGAGGGGCCAGATACAATAAATTATCCTTCATTTTAGAAGGAAAATCTCAACATGGTCCATACCACTGGACCCCTAAAACTTAAATGAGATGAAAGGCAACTGAATTTTTGTCAGATTAATTTCTCACCCTCTAGTACACAAATGTTTTACCAATAAGTCCAGAGTCATTGACACTTCCTCCTTACTAGGTCCAATCAGCATAATGTTATCAATGTAATAGACCAGTGTGATGTCTTGTGGAAAGGAAAGGCAATCAAAGTCCCTGATTATGATATAAGGTTGTAGAATTGATACACTCTTGAGGTAGGACTGTGAAGGTATGTATATTTCTGGCCTTGCCAGCTGAAGGCAAATTGCTTCTGGTGGTCCTTTGAAACATGTGTAGAGAAAAGACGTTAGCTGGATTAATAGCTGCATACTAGATACCAAGGAGATGCATTAATTTGCTCAAGCAATGAAACCACATCTGGAACAGCAGCTGCAATTGGAGTCACCACCTGGTTAAGTTTTCAATAATCCACTGTCATTCTCCATGATTTGTCTGTGTTTTGCACAGGCCAAATAGGCGAGTTGAATCGGGATGTGATGGGAATCACCACCCTGTATCCTTCAAATCCTTGATGGTGGCACTAATCTCTGCCACCCCTCCAGGAATGCAATATTGCTTTTAGTTTACTATTTTCCTATGTAGGGGCAGTTCTAATGGCTTCCACTTGGTTTTTCCTATCGTGATAGACCTTACTCCACTAGTCAGGGATCTAATGTGAGGGTTCTGCCGGTTACTGAGTATATCTATTCCAATTACACATTCTGAAACTGGGGCAATCACCACAGGATGAGTTCAGGGACACATTGGACTCACTGTGAGCTGAAACTGAGCTAAGACTCCAGTAATAACCTGACCTCCATATGCCCCCACTCTGACTGGTGGGCCACAATGATGTTTTAGGTCTCCTGGAATTAGTGTCAGTTCAGAGCCAGTATGCAGTTATCTCTGAAAAGTTTGATTATTTCCTTTTCCCCAATGAACATTCACTCTTGTTAAAGCTGTAGATCCCTTGGGGAAGGCTGGGAGAAAGATTAATAGTATAAATTTTGGGCAGTGTGATGAGGTCCTTCCTCAAGGGGAACCAGCCTCCCCTTCATTCAGGGGTTTATGAGTCTGTAAACTGTCTGTAAACTTGTCTGTAAGCTGGGATTTGGTCGAGGGGCTGTGACTCTCTATTTTGGCAATTTAAGTTAGACTGCTGTTTGCTTGATCTAGAATTCTTTCACTTGTACAGATCAAGTAAATATTTAATAGATTTTCAATCTGTTTCACTCCTAGGGACACCATGACTGAGTAGCCAATGCCATAATTACTGCTTTGACTCTGCTGTTCATTAAACTAACCACCCTCACTTTGTCTTTGTTGATTGAGTGCCACCACTTGGCTGTTACCACCACAGGGTCCAATCATCTAAATTGTATTCAAAACCCAAAAAACCAAAACCTGTTGCTGTTAAGTTGATTCCAATTCATAGCAACATTATAGGACAGTAAAACTGCCCTATAGGGTTTCCAAGGAGTGGCTGGTAGATTCAAACTTCCGATATTTTGGTTAGCAGTCGCGCTCTTAACTACTATGCCACCAGGGCTCCTCCATTGTCATTAGATGTCTTAATTCAGTTAGGGCAGTTCTCACTGTCAAATCTGACTTACATAAAACAGCAATCACAGCAGACTTCAAGGATGCTGAAGCTCGCTTCTCAAATTTCTTCCTCTCCATTGTGGTAAAAGGTGTGCCCTCTGGGCACTCCATGTGTGGGTCTGTGGGTCTAACCTGATAAATCCACTCTAACATGCCAATTTGCCTAAGCCTTTGAATTCCTTCTTCTACAGTATACCAAGGCAGGTCTGGTACTTCAACTTGATTTAGTGTGGGCCACCGTGTAATCCATACTTCAGTGAACCAACCAAATAAACTATTAGATCGTTTCCTAATCTCTTAAGCTAAAACATTTAATGAAAGATCTGTGCTTAGTGGGCCCATATCACTAAACTCAGACTGATCCAACTTTATGTTCCTTGCACCATTATCCCAAACCCTTAATAGCCATTCCCACACATATTCCTCAGGTTTCTGTTTGTACATATTAGAAAACTCAAGCAGTTCTTTTGGAGTGTAGTATACCTCCTCCTGGGTCACACTTCGTACTTCACCTTTTGGGGTTTGCTGGGACTGAAGTCTACTTATAGGTCTAGAAGCAAAAATGGGTGGTGGGGATGTGTTCCGATAACATTCAGCAACTTCTTGTAAGGCATCTGCCTCGGGCAATGCTCCAGGCAATGACTCAGACCAAAGGCTCTTCAGACACAGCTGGGTTACTCTCATCAGATGGGGGTTTAGGGGCTAATAGTTTTACTGAGGAGGGTGGCTTAGCAGACAAAGATGGAGTAATCTTCAGATAGGAGTGAGAAGGCTGGTTCTGTTGGACAGAGTGATTCAACAGAATTTAGGGGCTCAGTGTCTCCAGATTCCTGATTATATGCCCATATGTTCAATCTCAAGTTTCAGGATCCCATTTCTTCCTAATCAATGCCCTCATTCTAACTTCAGGCACCATTCGAAGTTGGGAATTCAATTGGCATTGTAATTCAGCCACTCTTATGATAAGACTCTGGGTTTAGTTTTTGGCAACAGTCATTTCTGTTACTACAAGAAATAAGGCTTTCTTTCAAGGCACAAGTGGAAATTTTGAGGTGATTTATGCAGCGCTTGAGCTGTGATTCTGAAGCCCTGAGCTTATCTCTTTCTTTCAACACTTTGTCTAGCAAAAGTAGGACCAACCAACCAGCTTCCTTATACTTCTCATTCTGACCTTTCTAAAGGTATCAAACGTGATCACCCAGAACTTCACCTCTCACCAATGTCTGATCTATTGGTGGTGATATTTTGAGTATTTCTATTGCCACCTCACACCATGGATTAGCAGTGCCCTGTTTTCTACTGCAGTCAGAGTCATCAACATCTTTAAGACTAACAAAACTTGAGAATCAATTTAGAAAACTTATCCTTACAATTTTGTTTGTGTAGAACCGCTCTCAGTGCCAAATGTCTCCAGCAGGGTTCTCTAGAGAAGCAAAACCAGTAAAGCATACAAATATATATAGATAGAAAGATTTATATTAATGAAAGAAAGATTTATATCAACGAAATGCCTCACCTGGTTGTAGAGCCTGGAAAGTCCCAAGTCCACGGATCAGGCTGGAGGCTTCTCCTGAGTCATGTAGCTGCAGGGGCTGGCGAACTCAAGATCAGCAGGTCAGACAGTGGGCCTCTGGCTCACAGGCTGTGGAGGCAGATGAATCCCAAGACCAGTAGGTAAGATGGCAGGCTGCTGGCTCACAGGCTTGGAGTCTGACGAATCCCAAGATCAGCAGGTAAGCTGCTAGCTCAAGTCCCAAAAACCAGAGGTAAGATAAACAGGAGCCAGTTGCAGAATCCAGAGTGAACAAAAGCCAGCAAGTGTGTCCAGAAAGTCCACCTATATTGGATGGAAGCCACACCCTCAAGGAAAATCCCTTTAAACTGATTGGCTACTCACAGCAGATCTCATCATGGGGGTGATTACATTATATCAGATCTAATCACAGGGGTGATTACATCCTTATCTGACTGTGCAAACTACATCCTAATTGCCAAACCACTGAGAATCATGACCCAGTCATGTTGACACACAACCTTAACCATCACTCCTGCCAAACTTAAAGAACGCTGCTTTTTTGGGTTATGCTGAATTTTAATTCTTTTAATTACACTGAGACAGAAATTGTAGGGAAGAGACTTAAAAAACCTGCCTAAAAGATAACATACTTTTAGTCTCTATCAAGTGCAGTAACCAAAGAAATTTAGATGTTTTCTGAGCTGCTTTCAGCCTTCTGCTGAAGCTGGGATTCTTCAAAAGTGGGACCAGTCATGGAATCCAGCATTGGCAATACTCACATGGTGATAGGGCGGAGGTCCCTGAATAAGGCAGTCCTTGAGACACTACATTCAGTGTTTATTTAACAGGTATTGTCTTACTTAATCTACACAAAGAGGAATATTACCTTACCCATTTTAAGAGCAGAGGCATAAGGCTAAGAGAATAAAATCTCTCAAGGTGATAGGGGCAAAGTTGTTTCCAAAGCCATATCTATCTGAAAAAGCAGAACCTCTCAAGCATTCCACTGCACTGGCCCCTGACATTTCCATTGTTTCTTGAGTGAGGCTTCCTCCAGGTTCATCTACCTCAGGAGTGTCCTACAGAGCTTTCTGGAGAACCATCCTAAGGCTCTGTGGCAGCTGCCACCACTGCCCTCGCTGTCTAAAGGAACCAACAAAGAAGTAAATGATGGGGTTGGCACAGCTGTTAACACAGGAGAGAAGCACAAGTCAGGGAGAAGGTAACATATCAAAATAACTCTGAATCCAGAATAATAGGAACCAATGAATGCGAAAGGCAGGCCACAGAGGAGGAAGACCAACACTGTGATCACTACAGTCACATAGAGCCTGGTCAGCGTCTTCCTCTGGGAGCCATAGAACATCTTCACCAGCAGAGACAGGCTAGATCCAGAGAGAGTCACAAATAGGAAAATCAGCCACACAGCAAGGCAGAAATCATATGACACCAAATACCCACAGTACCAGATGGGGCACAGGACAGACAGGCGCTCAGTGTAACGGGGCTGAGAATGCTCATGCCCACGATGTAGGCAAACACTATCACGGTGTCGAAGAAGTCGGAGATGGAGATGAAGTTGGTGTGGAAGAAGTCGATGAGATCCATCAGGGAAGGTACAGTTAAGGAGCAGAGGTATAGGAAGTCAGCCCCCGCCAGGTTGAGGTTGTAGATGGAAAAAGGATTCCTCCACAGGCAGAAGTCCAGGAGCCACAGCACAACCGTGTTTCCTGCCAGCCCACTGAGGGCAATGGTGAGGGTCAGTAAGCGCTGGAACAGGTACTCCTTCATGTCATAATTTGGAGGAAAGGCCTCCTTACTTCCATTTGTTGGTGGGTGTTGATTCAACCAGTGTGAGGAGGCTGGATCCATGCTCAGAAACCCTCCAGTGGTGCCCCTGGAATACAAACAAGAGTTGAACACCTGCTGTATGATCACTGATTCTCAGGACCTCCCTGCTAAGTGGGAATTACTGTCCCTTTTTAATGGAGGCGGGAAATGGAGGCCTGCAGAGATTAAGCAATTTATCAAAGGCTGGGGAGGCCTGGAGCCTGGATTCAACCTCAGTTCTCATTGACTCTAAAGCTGTGTTCTCCCGGCAGTGGCACATGCCCCTCTGGCACGGACTATTCTGTGGTCCAAACATCTCCCGCACCTTCCTGAGGCCATGTCATATCCCCAGTCTGTAAGTCTAGGACAGGCTCTATGGGACAGTGACAGGGTTTAGAGTCCAACATTCCTTCTGTCCTGTGGGGTGTGGGTGTTGGCAGAAAGTCAGAAGCCCCAGGCATGAGCCATGGTCCACTCTCAATGACAGAGCGTGTCCATCTGTCAAGAAGGAAAAAAAAAAAATGTTTTAAAGACCTGAGAGAAATGTGACCTCTTGCTATGACATGTGTGACAATATCCAGGTCTCTTGTGTTAGAAATATTGCAATGTGTAAACTTTATGGGGACAGAAAGAGCTTTTCTGTTGTCCATTTCTGTGTTCCCAGTGCCTAGCTCTGTCTGGGAGACACAGTGGGTATTCAAGAAACTTTTAATCAACAAATGGCCACGTGAAAGAATGAATGAGGAGTCTGAGGGTAGTTGAAAATTGGGGTTAATGTAAAACAAAAAATTTTAAGTGGAATTATTCACCAGAAAACACACATGTAAAGGAATGAAGAAAATTTTATTCATCAATATTCCTTCTATTTAAAGCTCTATGTATGTTTGAAAGAATATCTTACACCTGCACAAACAACCGATGATGGCCACCCTCGTGCCTCCAAACCAGGGAGGGCTAGCATATGGCTTTACTGAGCAGCTGGATGTTTTAGTACACAGTTTATGGGAAGGCTTTAGGGCTAAACTGAATTGCCCTGCATTTTAGAGAGAACAGGGAAAGGTTGGAAGATGAGAAAAAGAGGTGGCAAAGCAGCTGAAAAAAGGTAGTTGAAGCATGGAACTACCTGAGGGGGATTAAGTGATTTGCAAGGAAGTGTGCAATATGAACCCACCCATTCTCTCCTTCAGATGATTTTGAGTAGAGTTTGTTTTACTGCTTAAAGCATTTATAAAGAGGGTCTTAGGGGAGGGGGGTTGGAAGTAGAAACAGTGTTCATTTCTACAACATGAAGGGCTTTGGATGAAAAGATAGATCATGTGAATGAAAACTTGTGAAGGTGGATTAACACATTTGGGTGAATAAATAATAGCAGCTGATTGAGCACTTACCAGGTATTTGCTCTATTAATCCTCTTAAAAGCCTGTCATGGATTGAACTGTGTCTCCCAAAAATATGTGTATCTATTCGGCCAGGCCATGATTCCCAGTATGGTGTGATTGTCTACCATTTTGTCATCTGATGTGATTTTCCTATGTGTTGTAAATCCTACCTCTATGATGTTAATGAGATGGTATAGGCGGCAGTTGTGTTAGTGAGGCAGGCTCAGTCTACAAGACTAAATTGTGTCTTGAGGCAATCTCTTTTGAGATGTAAAAGTGAAGTGAGCAGAGAGACAGGGGGACCTCATACCACCAAGAAAGCAGTGCTGGGAGCAGAGCACATCCTTTGGACGTGGGGTTCCTGTGCAGAGAAGATCCTAGGCCAGGGGAAGATTGATGAGAAGGACCTTCCTCCAGAGCCAAAAGAGAGAGCGAGACTTCCCCTGGAGCTGACGCCCTGAATTTGGACTTCTAGCCTACTTTACTGTGAGGAAAATAAATTTCTCTTTGTTAAAGCCCTCTACTTGCGCTATTTCTGTTACGGCAGCACTAGATAACCAAGACAGAGCCCTATGAGCTAAGTACTGTTATTATCCCCATTTTGCAAAGAAAGAAACTGAAGCACAAGGAGACTAAGTTATTTGCTCCAGGACTCATGCAAACAAGTGGCAGAGCCTGGATATGCACCCATAGGTCTGAGTCAGTTATGCCCTTAACAAATCTTGCAGTCCCACTGCCAGTGTATGCTGTCAACTACACATGGAAAGAAGTAAGCAAGTAATGGGCAAGTCAAATCCAAATTAGAATATAAAAAGGATGAAGGCACCACTCTAGGTGCGGGAGGGCAGTAATTTGGGAAGAGCCTTGGTTTCTGACACCTTGGATCCACCAGTCCAGATCTAATAAACTTCTTCCTTATTCAAGTCACTAATATAACGAGTTTGTCTTAGAGTAGCCAAAGTCATAAAATTAAAATACCTACCAATACCTGTGTATTCCTTATTTTACTACATTTGATTTTCAAGCTATTTATGATGTCAGTGAGACATTGTCCCAATAAAATGGCAGTAAAGAAGAAAGGTGCAAGCAGAAAACAAAACACAACTCTTAGTAGATACACTGAGAAATTAATCCAATCACATTGAGAAGGCAAGAGTTCTGGTAAACACCTACTGTGAGGAGGATATAATAAGACGTGATGGATTCTGTTGTTCTTTGTCATCCTGTCTATCCTGCATGGGCCCCAGGTGGAGATGACTCTTGGCCTCATCCATGGGATCCCTTCCCCACTGGCTCCTGGTTGAGTAGCCAAAGGGAGATACTGACACAAATTTGGAAGGCAAGAAGTGAAGGTTATGGGAGTTTTTTTTAATCTTTCTCTTGTCTCTCTCTCTCCTCGGCTATAGTTGACAATGGCACTGGCAGTGTTATTCTACTTGTGGGTCTCTGCTACAGCCACAGCTACATCTGCAGCCCTCTCTGAGTTCTGGTAACTTCTCCTTGCCTCTTAGGCCTAACAAAGGTAAGAGCTCCCCACATTTTCTTGCTTTGTAGGCTTCACCATCCCTTGCAGATTTCTTTTACTGGTACCCATCTTTGTAAATTGTCCCTTCATTAAACTGTCTTCTGTTATCCCAGTTTGGACCATCTGTTTCCAGCTGGGACTCCGACAGATACACAAAAGGGAAAACTTTGGAAAAGCAAGTAAAGCAGTGAAACCTGGGTTGTTAACAGCACTTTAGTTTTGGGAAGCTATGTGTGTTCGCTATTGTGCTCCCTAAATGAGGGAAAGCAGCAGGTTTCTCACCATGGCAGCACATTTAAATGTTTAGAACGAAGGGGAGAATATAGAAAGAGGGTCTAAGAAGGAGAACAGTCCCAGTTTCCCCCACTCACATCTCCCACAGTCAAGATTGCTGGCACCCTTTCAGGGAACATCTAGCTCAATCGGCATAATGTAGTTCATAAAGAAAATGTTCTACATTCTACCTTGGTGAGTAGCTTCTGGAGTCTTGAAAGCCTGTGAGCAGCCATCTAAGATACTCCACTGGTCTCACCCCTTCAGGAGCAAGGGAGAATGAAGAAAACAAGACACAACGAAAAGATTAGTCCAAATGACTAATGGACCACAACTACCACAGCCTCCACCAGACTGAGTCCAGTACAACTAGATGGTGCCTGGCTACCACAACTGACTGCTCTCACAAGGATCACAACAGAGGGTCCTGGACAGAGCTGGAGAAAAATGTAGAACAAAATTCTAACTCACAAAAAAAGACCAGATTTACTGGCCTAACAGAGACTGGAGAAACCCCAAGAGTATGGCCTCCAGACACCCTTTTAGCTCAGTAATGAAGTCATCCAGAGGTTCACCATTCAGCCAAAGATTAGACAGCCCCATAAAGTGAGAATAATGGGGCACAACAGTCCAGGGACAAGGACTAGAAGGCAGGAGGGGACAGGAAAGTTAGTAATAGGGAACCCAAGGTTGAGAAGGCAGAGTGTTGACATGTCTTGGGGTTGTTAACCATTGTCATAAAACAGTATGTCTACTGTTTAATGAAAAACTATTTGTTTGTAAATCTTCATCTAAAGTACAATAAAAATATTAATAATAAAAAAAGAGTGCTGGTACCCAAAGTTGCTAAGAGGGGGCTTCGTGTCTTCTGCCTTTTCCTAATGGAACCCCCATGGCTGCCTGAACGTTCCACTCCATAGTAGAACGATGCAGATGCTGACTAAAGAGACAAATACAACAGTGACTTTCGGAAATAAGAGTTCTTGATAAACTCTTAGCTTTCCTCCATTCTTATTGCTACAAGTGGAGAGCTGACCTGTTGGGAAGCTAAGAGCCCTCCTATAATTGATAGTCTCCAGTTGACACTACTTTTTCTTCTTCTGGATAGAGAGGTGCCTGCAAGAGCTGGAGTGAAATCTGGTGCCTGAGCTAGGCTTATCAAGATGCTGGATAGCCCTGTGATTTCCTGTGCAGGGACCCAGTGGCTAATTAGAGCCCAGCTACATTAGGTCACGAGCCCTCATGAGATGTTTCTCAGCATTTAGTCGAACGCCTATATAACATCTGTAATTCCACCTCTCCCCTCCCCACCTCATCCAGTCCCCTTCCCTGTTAGTGATTGTTGTTCTGGAGACTTTGGCAGCCAACTCTGCACCTATTAGCAGGGCTAAGCAATGTGAGCCCACACTGGAAGGCTTTTACAGCTAAAGTATAAAGCACACCTTCCTTTGCACGTTATTCAAGGCCCATCATGGCCTGTTCTGACCTCCACCCTTTATCATAGCAGTAGTGCATGCATGTTTACGATTTATTTCCAAGTGACTCTGAAGTATATCAGATAAAAGGTGAAAGTCTTTTGAATCCTATTCTCTAGGAGAAGCAACTTTTTACCATTTCTATTTTTAATTATTTTATTAGTTATGGTTATAGCTTTGAATAGTAAAATTTTATTTGTTTCTTAATTTATCAGTGTTAGCAAGATCAATCGTTGCCCTTTGTAAGAAATAAAGAGGTAACACACACAGCAGCCGCACTTAGCTCCCTGGGAAGAGGTGAGAGAGTGT